CGCCCCCCCCCAGACTGAGCCCCTCAAGTGCTCAGTGAGTCCTGGGGTCCCCCAGCCAGTAAGCCCCGGGGCCCCCCCAAAATGGAGCCTCCCAGCCTCCAAACAGAGCTCCCCAAAGTTCCCCGGTAAGACCCAGGGTCCCCCTGAACTGAGTCCTCCAACCCTGCTAGTGAAATCTGGGGGGCCCCAAGCTTAGCCCCCCCAGAGAGATCACCTGCAGCTCCTTGTCGACGGCCTTGGAGACCTCATTGGCCACGGACTCCAGGCGGGGCCCCCCCAAAATGGAGCCTCCCAGCCTCCAAACAGAGCTCCCCAAAGTTCCCCGGTAAGACCCAGGGTCCCCCTGAACTGAGTCCTCCAACCCTGCTAGTGAAATCTGGGGGGCCCCAAGCTTAGCCCCCCCAGAGAGATCACCTGCAGCTCCTTGTCGACGGCCTTGGAGACCTCATTGGCCACGGACTCCAGGCGGATGTGCGTGGGGGGAGGGGAAGACAGCAGCGGTAGCCACATCTGGGGAGCTTGTTCCTGGACCAGGGATGGAGGTTTCAGTTGTGTGGCAACAACTGGGCAGCTAGCGTCTGGCTGGGGATGGAGTGATCCAGATGTGGCAACATCTGAGGAGCTAGCTTCTGGCTGGGGATGAAGGGATCCAGACGTGGAAACATCTGGGGAGCTCGCTTCTGACTGGGGATGAAGGGACCAGATGTGCGAACAGCCGGGGAGCTCCTGTCAGGGGATGGAGAGATCCAGATGCAAGAACATCTGGGGAGCTAGCTTGTGGCTGGGGATGGAGGGATCCAGATGTGAGAACATTTGGGGAGCTCGCTTCTGGCTGGGGTGGAGGGATCCAGATGTGGCAATATCTGGGGAACTAGCTTCTGGCTGGGGATGGAGGGATCCAGATGTGAGAACATTTGGGGAGCTCGCTTCTGGCTGGGGTGGAGGGATCCAGGTGTGGGACCACATCTGGGGACAGAAAGCCCAGATGTGGCAACCTCTGCAGCAGCAGAGTTTCTCCAGGGCGACGACAGCTGTGGCCTCATCTGGAGACACAGGGCCGGGGCCACAGGTGGAGGAGCCAGGACGGGAGAGGCAGGGGTTGAGTGAGAGGGGTGGAGACGGAGGGAACGGGGTGGAGCCGGGCAGAGGGGGGGGTCTCTCACCGTCATCAGCTCCCGCGCGTACAGCACCTCCTCTTGGACGGTGTCGGCCGGGCAGCCGTGCAGAGCCCTCACCTTCTCCTGGACCTGCAGGCACAGCCGGGTGGTTAGCGGCACCCCTGAGCCAGCCGGATGGAGCCGGAGCCCCCTCAAGGGGAAAGGCCCTGAGCTCTGTTCCCTGCCCCCCAAGCCCGCCCCCTGGCCCGCGGGGGACGGTACGGGGAGATGGGAACGTTTACTTGCTCGGCGCCGCTGGTGCCGATCCCTTGCTGGAGTCGGAAGGCCTGCTCCTGGGAAAACTTCTGGGAGTGGCTGTGTGGGAGGAGGCACCATTGGATCTGGGGAGGAGGGATGAAGGGAGGCAGATGATGTGCGTGGGGGGAGGGGAAGACAGCAGCGGTAGCCACATCTGGGGAGCTTGTTCCTGGACCAGGGATGGAGGTTTCAGTTGTGTGGCAACAACTGGGCAGCTAGCGTCTGGCTGGGGATGGAGTGATCCAGATGTGGCAACATCTGAGGAGCTAGCTTCTGGCTGGGGATGAAGGGATCCAGACGTGGAAACATCTGGGGAGCTTGCTTCTGACTGAGGATGGAGGGATCCAGATGTGCGAACAGCCGGGGAGCTCCCGAGGGAACAGCCCTCAAGTCTGTCAGAGCTGTGGTCTCACTTGCAGTTATCCAAGTTACTCTCTGTGGGTATCACTCCCGTTTCCCCATTTTCACCTCCTGGTCCCCCTCCAGTCACCACCCAAATGGCTTCTTGTCTTTGCGTTATTGTCCCATCTCCCAGGTGTTGTCCACCTTTTTCTTATCAACAAGCTAACCCAACAATCCACCCTAGTGACCCTTCCAATAACCTAGCCCAACACAGCTCAACCCAACTGAGAACATAACCCAGCCGAGAACCCAACGCAATTCGACCCAACTGAGAACCCAGTCCAGCTCAACCCAACTGAAAACCCGACCCCACTTTACCCAACTAAGAACCCAACCCAACTGAGAACCCAGCCCCCCCCAACCAAGAACTCAAAGGAAAATATCATGTACCATTAGAGCTGGGGAGAAAATATGCCCCAGAAGACATACACCAGGCATGTCAAACTCGAAGAACATTTGGGGAGCTCGCTTCTGGCTGGGGTGGAGGGATCCAGATGTGGCAATATCTGGGGAACTAGCTTCTGGCTGGGGATGGAGGGATCCAGATGTGAGAACATTTGGGGAGCTCGCTTCTGGCTGGGGTGGAGGGATCCAGGTGTGGGAATATCTGGGGAACTAGCTTCTGGCTGGGGGTGGGGGGG